CCGGCCCCGCCCCGCCCGCGCCCCGCCCGCGCCCGTGGGGCCCTGGAAGCGGCCCCCAGAGGCCCAGGGAGGCAGAGCTGGCTGACTTGCTGTGAGCTTTTCCTCCCTGTTCTGTGGCTTCTAAGACAGTCTCCTTCAGAAGCCTGTCAGCCTTTAAGGCCAGCTTAATGGCCGTGTTGCGGCACCGCTGGGAGCCCAGAGCTGCAGGCCTGCGGCGTGCACCTGACCAGCTCAGACCAGCTCACGGGCTGACTGTTAAAATTCCAGGAATTATGCGGCTGCAGAGCAATTGCTGGCCCTCAGCCAGCCATGGTAAGAGGAGTTTACTCTAGAAACAGGTAAAGATCAGGGCTCATGTTTTTTCTTTCCCAAAGAACCAGTTTCTCGGCGCACACAACCGAGGGCCTTTCGGGGCAGAGCTGAGTTAGTATGAGGGGGAGGGAGCCTGCCAACACACGGCCCTTCACGAGCGCGAATGTCCCAGCAAAGTGGCAAAAAGGGCTTCTGTGCTTTACAGACACCGTTGTGGAAAAAAAAAAAATGCTAAGAAAAAACCCCAGAGGTGTGGAAGAAAAAGATGAAGCTTTTTCTTGTCTTTTAAAAGCTAAACTTACTTGCGGTCCCATTGTGCGTTAAGCTCACCGATAACCTTACCAAACCCGAGAAAGAGGTGAAACGGGCAGTGTGGCGATCACAGCAAGGCCTGAGAAGGCCCCCAGGGGTGTCCCTGCGGATGCAACAGTGCTCTGACCTGCTCTGACGCTGCAGAGCAGCCAGAGGCCCTCAGGCACAGAATGTGGTTTTCCACTACAGAGTTTAATCAGTGTAGTGATGGTCGCATCGTTTAAACACGGTCGTATTTCTGACTTAGGAATGCTGTTTTTGTTTTATTACTGTTATTAAATTCTGCCATAGGACCAAAGCTCTTCAAAGAACCCAGTGCAAAATCCAATAAGCACATAATACAAAATGCTTTAGCTCATTGCTGTTTGGCTGGAAAAGTAAATGAAGGTCAGAAGAAAAAAATACTGGAGGTAAGCATGTTTGCGTGAAAATTAGGTTTGGCAACATTGTAAAACTGTAGGAGTCTCTTCTCTTTCAGTTCAGGAGGAAATACTCTTCAGGGGGCTCCTAGAATTTCAACAGCATATGAAAGATCTCCTAACTATGTTCTCATTGTTAGACTGGGTTTACTTTCAAACGGGGTTCTGGAAGACCGCAGATTTTATTAAAGACTAGGCATAGACTTAAGGTGATAATATAAAAATTATAAATTATTTTCTTGCCCAGAGTCACTCGTTCACGTTTCATAAATGCAGATAACACGATCTGCCTTTTTTAAAATGAAGCTCTGTTGCGAAGGAGATCGCCAGTGCCTGGTTGTTAGTGGTAGAGACAGTCTGGCTGAGACCGAGAGTTAGCAGACCCTGCAGCCCTTTTAAGTCCCTCCGGGATTACAATTCCGGCACAGCCAACAGGGCCTCAGCGGTAAGGTCTCTGCGCACATCTCAATCCCCGTGTGCTGGACGTGGGTTGCATGCCTCATTTTGGCTACTAAGAATTTATATTTTAAATTACGTGTCATAAAAACTGGCCAAGAAATGTAACGCAGTTATATAAATTATATTCAGCAAAATGTTTAAGGGCTTTTATTTTTGTTTCTTATCCTAAAGGAAATGGAGAAGTCAGATGCCAACAACTTCCTAATCTTGTTCCGGGATTCAGGCTGCCAGTTCAGGTCTTTGTATACTTACTGCCCAGAGACTGAAGAGATTAATAAGCTGACTGGGATAGGCCCTAAATCTATCACTAAAAAGATGATCGAGGGCCTTTACAAATATAATTCGGACAGGAAACAGTTCAGCCACATCCCCGCTAAAACTTTATCTGCCAGTGTTGATGCAATTACCATTCACAGCCATTTATGGCAGACCAAGAGACCAGTGACGCCCAAGAAACTTTTACCCACTAAAGCGTAGGAACCGGGAAATATTTGCTTCAGAACATTCATGCTAAGTTTGCACTTCATCTTTCCTGCCTATAGAAAACCTTTCTAATTGCCAACAGACTTTTATTAATTGAAACTGGACATCCAGCTCTGTTGTCATGACAACTGGAATGTAGACCGCAGTGTTTGGAGTGCAGGAGGACCCACGTGGGTGATAGGCCAGGCGGTGACGCGCTGTCCAGCTCACAGGTGGAGGTTCGCCTGCTTGGTATTCGATACGTCGAAGCACTGAGTTCTCACATGGACACTAGTTGAAATACGGCTAAGATTACGAATTGTGTGTTTTGTTTGTTGCTTTTTTTAAAAAACTTTTTAACGTACATGCCTGTCTTCAGATGGTTTATTTTGCTGTTTTTCTCTGCTGGGGGTTTGTTCCAAGATACCTTTGTATTTTGTTTCACGTGGAGATCATGCGAGTAGGAAATAGGCCTTCAGAGGTAACTTGCGTCTTTCTTAGGATGCTGAGAGAAACACTAGTGTTTAGTTTTACAGCAACCCTCATGTTTTAATGGTGTTAGAGCATTTGCAAGAATTATTCTGCTAAGTATTTACAATTCCGTATTTATTATTCACTCAAGTATTAACGTTTCTCTATTAAATAAGAGGAGAAGTTGTGAAGAGCTGCTATAGGTTCACTTAAACCACATGAGCTTAACCAAGAAGATGTTATTAGAAGTTGCTGATTAAATCAGTGCTGTTTTTACACCACTTCTCGCCAACTCAGAATAATTTGGATTGTTCTTTTAACAAAAAGGCCTTCTATCTCTCTTAAAGTATGTCACTTTATAAGCTGGCGGAAGTGAAGGACGCTTGGAGAATAGTCTCGGAATCTGAGGATGTAAGACTTCCTGCCATGAGTTCTCAAGAGGTCTTTACATTATATTTATAACTGATATAAAAAATTATATTTAGAATTTTTAAACATGTACAAAGGGCTACGTTTTGATTTTAAAATAGCTTCACATTCTTTCGCTTATGTTGAGTTTTTCTTCTTGTTTATCCTTTTCAGGTGGTTCAGCTTAGATTAAGTTCACACTTGAAATCTTCTCTGTGTGGTCTTTGTTCCTTTAACAGTGTATACCAGAGGGTTAGTTGGGGAAAAACTTCATTCTCAGGAAAAGACTTGAATGATTCTGTGACCCTGTTATGTTTCAGTGTTGTGACAACCGTGTAAACTTAGAGGGAAAGACAGTATTGTAGCATATATGAGATGTGTAGTCTGTTTTCTTTCACGGGAAGTGGAGACTAAAATTTATACATTTCTCTAATTGAGTTGTTTAGAGAAATAACTAATATCTCATATGATGTATTTACTTATTTTTTAAAAAGAGTAGGAATGAGATGTCCCTGAACTGTACTTTTCTATTATTATAAGGCCTTTAGGCATCAGTGCATCTGGGTTATCAACATTTTCTCAAACGCTGTCAATATTTTACTGTAATTTATGTTCTTATATTTATGTATATTTGTTAAAACTGTAAAAAAAAAAAAATTCACAGATTTTTTTCCAGTACCTGTGCAAGATATATGTGTAGCTCAGAACTATTTGTGATCTACTGTTTGCATGTAAGAGACCAGGATATATGTAACTCTTATATTTTAAGTGTATACATATTGTGTATATAATATATGGAGATTTAAACTGGGGGAACTGCACATTTTACCTTTCAGACAACCGTTTCTATCACAATGAGAAGGAAATGATTGTCAAATACACGTTTAGGTTGACTAGTTTAAAAAAAAAAAAAAAAGTAAGTGAATCTCATCAAAATGTGGTAAATAATAGTCAAAAGGAGAATTAATAAGCGTTCTACATTACTAAATTTGTTCTTTTCAAATCAATTAAATTTCCTTTATCAAAGCCATCTTCTTGGTGATATTACTTGGCCATTAAATTTTTTTTAATTGGCTGCCAGACAGTGGAGGAACTAACTGTGTAAAACCGGACAGGACCACCCTTTATTCTCAAATTTGTGTGTGTGTCCAACAATGTCCACGATGTCTAAAGGTAGAATGTGAATATTGCCACAAAAGTTCCTTGCTCTCGGTGTGATGTTTTCCTTTCTTCATGCAGAAAGGATATGGATATATTTAAGTCTGCAGATTTTTTTTTTAAATTATGTTTTTAAGATTATACAAATGAAAATTATGCTATTTCATAAAGTCTGGAGATATTCATCAACCTTATTGAAACACATTGGTGCTTCTCATCATTGGAGGGTCACGTTATTAGGATAATTATTCAATTAAGTTTGCCAAACAAACCTGTAACGGTTACCAGTGTGGCCTGTCAAATTCTGCCATGTGACACAGCTTTGGAAAGCTTTTCATTCCTCTCGGCTTTTCAATTTTGTTTTAGAATGACTGTTAACGGTTTTTATTTGGCTGTTTTGAAAGCCAAATTCAGCTTTTTAATCGTGGTTTCATGGACACTTTGGGCGGTGTACAGTGTCTGGTGTGCTTACTGTGCACTCTGGAGCATTGCTTACAGGTTTTTTTACGATGCTGTGCTGTAAAATACTGTCATATTTCCTACTTCCTGGTACAGTGTAGTTTTTCCCCTTTCATTTGAATAAAAGCATGGCACCAAATGACCTTTTCTGTTTCTTGAATAAAATGTGGGTTTTCTGGTAATATTTGAACTTGGGCAAACTCATCATATCGTTTTTCCTCTCTCTTAACCTCCGTTTAAATTGAACAGTTTAGATATTCATAAGAGGTAACTAATACTAGATGTTGTTTGAACCCTGACTTAGGCAATGCTAAAAGTCTGTTGCCTTCCGTGCTCGGCTCAGACGGTCTGTGTGGTGGTGTGTAAGTGTTGGTGCTCATCCTGCACTAATTTGGTCCGTGTTGCTTCACTGTCTTCTGGTGAGTTAGTAATTGAATCGTGTCAGAACTAACCCTCTGTGCCTTTGGAACTGAACGGCTGCCGAGGCGACCCCCTCACCGCCTACCCCGCCGTCTCTGGCAGCAGTGGGAAGCCAGGTCTCGGCCATCATTCTCTCAGTTTCACTTTGATTTTGCTGATTCTCCTCATTCAGAGCAGAGCAGTTAAAAAAAAAAGAAAAATCTAACAACTGGTTAACAACAACAGAAATCCTTCCTGCATAATTCCACACCCGAAGAAATGTCTGCAGTTGCCAAGCCCGAGCGCGTCCTCCGCCTTTGGTCCTTTGACAGGACACTCAGGCCTCAGCACAGAGTTGCGCTTCCATTTTCAAAACTGAAAGTATTTAACCGTGAGACTCAGGCGACACTAGAGAAGCGTGCACAAACCGTGGTGCCCGGGAGTGTGCTCCCTGGCCTGGCTCACTGGGAGTCCTTACTTAGGGCAGAGGAAGGTAGCCTGGTGGATAGGAACAGGCGCCTTTATTTCGTAACCTGTCCACGCAGAGAGAGAACAGCAAAGGGAACACAGCTGTGAGGCTCTGACCTAGGAATCGGGCGTGAGTTTGAAACTCTGCCCTCCCTCAGAAGTCACGGGTGCTTAAAAAGTAGACCTGCATCTCCTTAAAATGGCAGTTTTGCTTTTCAGAGACAAATGAGAAATTAACTATTTGTGTCATTTGTTGGGGGGGGGGTACGTCAGCTGCTCTTCACGTCGGGGCCGTAGAACCTCGTCGCGGTGGCCCTCTCTCTGCACCTCCGGGTTCCCTTCCACGTGCCCTGACAAGAGTGAGTTCCTATTTATGTCGGAAAGAAAGAAAAAAAGGATTCTTTTACTTTCCATTGGAAAGGGTAAAGGCAATTGAGTTAACAAAAACATATTTTAAGGCCCACTAAGGGTTTTTGTGGGGTTTTTTTTTTACCATATGAAGCGAAGCCACTGTGGAACCTCAGCTCCCGATGCATTTTATCCTGCTTCACCCCAGTCTGTGGCTTGAGGTGGTTGAATTCTCGCCTTCCTTCAGGAGCATCTGCTGGGGTGCGAATCATCACGGGCTGAAGACACACAGGATAACGTGCGTCGCTGACGGATGCACTCGGCTGCGGTGGTTCGTTGTTCGGGGTGTGCACATCGATGTGAGAAAGGAAACGTGGCTCTCGGCCCCGACCAAACAGAAACCGTCCCCTTTCACATCGCCTGAGGACTTAAAGGGTTCTCTGATTTGCTCTCCGTGGAGACGCGAGCATTGACATCTCCATTTTACAGACAAGGGTGACGAGGCCTTGGAAGGTTAGTGACTCTCTGTCAGGGACACAAAGCTAAGAAGTGGCAGCGTCCCAGCCGGCACATCAGCCTGGGGATTTCAGGTCCCCTCCCCGCCCGGGCCACAAGGGGCAGCATTTCCCTCTGCCGTAGGTGCTGTGTCATGAAAAGACAACGGAGTCTGACAGTTGCAAAAGGCGGTCACACATTCACTAGCGGTGGGAAACAGCCCTTAGGGTTGAGGTGGGCTTCCCTCTGGTGCCCGGTTCTCTAAACAACATCCACACAGCAGCAGCAGCTAAAACCAGGCTGGTGTGTTCCCGTGGCGTTGAATACCTAGATTCACAAGGATGGGAAGACGGAGAGATTGCGAGTGTACTGGAGATAAACGAAGCCTGCCAACAGGTTGACTACACGTATCAAGGAAAGAGTCCTCAGGTGCGAGGGTCACCATGGCAGGGTCCCTTCCATCAGGGAACTCGACTGCCTTCAGGCAGGCGCACTCAGGCCTTGAAAACAGCTGGTAGTCTCTGCTGTGATGGGGGCAAGCGAGTCCTTTTCTCCTTAACGGGGCAGCAAGTTCAGTCTCATGAAAGCCGGTTTTGTAAGGAACATAAGACGGTCCTACAGTACTAGCTGGTAGGACGCACGTGCAACGTGGTCTCAGACCTGAATTTTGAGTCGCCGTAAGGGCCTACTTTTACGACCATGGCACTTCGGCAAGGTAGCGGCTTGTAAACTGCACCCTCTTGACTTGGGGCCAGAGGCAGCCACTGTGTTGCCCGTCCCATGTCCCACAGGGTGTGAAGGCGGCGGAGCGCGGGGTCCCGGGGGAGCACACAGCTGTGTCTGAGGACACTGGAAGTCTGTGCTTGCATCCCTGACCCTGCGATCCGTGTGCAGACATAACAGTGCTGAGTCAGTATTCGCCAGATGAGTCAGTGGAGGCCCAGAATTGAAAATCAGACCCAGACCTAGTCTGGTCTCTGCTGGGCCACCCCTGCTTTCCTACTAAAGATATTTCTGCCCTCAAAATAAGAACCCCGCGTTGGCTTTCCTGCTCTGACCCCTCCGGTTCACACAGCATTCCTTGGGACCCGGGGGCAGCTCGAAGTTCCAAACTGCCGGGTCATCACGACGGTGACCTTCTGACCTTCTCTCTGGCCCCCATCTTCCTCCCGCGAGTTATGGGCCTGTCTCAGAGCTCCGCTCTCCCCGACGCCCACCCCAGGCCCTGCTCACCCCCTGCTCTCCTTCGGGGCCTCCAGCCCCTCAGGGTCCTGGCCCCCCGCGCCCCACCTGCCGCCACCATGTGTCTGACCTGTCCCCTGGAAGTTCACGGCCATCCCCAGCTCGACCTGCTCAGGAACCGAACAGCAACCTCCCAGTGGAACCAGCTCTCTCCTGGCAGCCTCCAGCCACCAAGGCCGAAACCTTCAAGAGCATCCTTTCCTCCTTCCCCCGTGCAGCACGGAAGGCGCCCAGGCCCGGACCCCCGTCACGTGTCCCATCCTCACCTCCCTCCGCCCCCAGTCCCGTGTCGGGCGGCTCTCGCAGGTGAGCCTCGGGTCCCGACGCATCTCGAGCGTCTCCCACACACAACCCCGGGGCCGCCTCACCTGGGCCCGGACCTCGCCTCTGGAGCCCTCCCCAGCCGGCCCGGTCACCGTCACGGCAACCGGCAGGGAGACCCCCCAGTAGACAGTCTGACATCCCGAGGTAAGTCATCAAGGTAGTCGTAGAAAAGGTCAAACTGTAAGGACGGTCTTGGGCTTATCTTAACGGCTCCTCTTGTGCCTGTCGAGCTGTGGGGAGGATGGTGCTGGGGTGACTGACCCCTCGGCGCTGGGGCCACTCAGAGGACATCACCCCGCTTATCACGTTGCCCCCGACGCAGTCCTCTGCGAGGCCGCCCCTCTGCCCGCACCCGGGACAGGATGCCACGGGCTGTCTCGAGTCACGCCGATTCATGTGGCAGAATTCATGCTCTCCAGTAACGTGAGCGCGGTTCTCAAGGAATAAGTAAGTCATTTGCTTCTTGTCTTTTGTTACCTGACAGGCGGGGCATCCACGCCGTGGTAGGAGGGGCAGGACGGGGTGGGAGGCGCAGGGGCACAGCACCAAGAGAGCCACCCCCCCACCCCCACCCCGCTCCAGTTCCTACTGAAATGACTAGAAATGGGCACCCATTTATTTTCCCACTCCAGCTTTCAGTGAAATCACTGGAAAGTAATGGCAGGTCCTAGCGAGCAGCCTGCGTGGGCTGAGTGATGGCTACCGAGAGCTGTGACTTCCTTTCCAAACACGTTCTGGGGTCCTGGTCCTGCCGAGGGACTTCGCTGCCGCCCACCTGTCAGGTTCCTGCCGCCTTGTGTGCGCCCCGGCCGTGGAGGGGATGGAGTCTCCCTTTCCTTGAAAGCCACCCTCCGCCCCGGCCCCCCCACCCCCACCCCCAGGCTGGCAGTGAGGTTGTAGCCCTGAGGCGCTTTCACTCTGAGTCACTCGGCGCA